TCTGGAAGGTGGCAAAAATCATCCCGATCCGCAAACCTGGGAAAGACCCTTCACTACCGTCAAGCTACAGACCAATTAGCCTGCTCTCAGCGCTGAGCAAGCTGTTCGAAAAATTGATCCTCAGCCGACTAAACAAGTTTGTGGAGGAACATGACATTCTTCTTCCGGAACAGTTCGGGTTCCGCAAGGGGCATTCCACCAATCATCAGCTAGTGCGGGTGATGAATAACATCCGAAGTAACAAAGCTGTATCCAAGTCCACAGCCATGGCCTTGTTAGACGTCGAAAAGGCGTTTGACAATGTCTGGCACGACGGACTTATATACAAGCTTTGTAACTCTAACTTTCCACCATACCTTGTGAAAATCACCCGTAACTATCTCCAGCAAAGGTCGTTCAGGGTGTCGTTGAATAGTTCCCTTTCGGGACAATTTCCGATCCCAGCAGGTGTTCCGCAAGGGAGTCTGCTGGGACCACTGCTTTACAGCATCTACACGTCGGACATCCCTCCTCTAGGAGACGGTTGCGTGTTCTTTCTGTTTGCAGATGACACCGCGATAGCTGTCAAGGGTAGGATGCCTCGTGAAATTACGAACAAGCTCCAACGATGCCTTGACACCTTTACTGATTATGCCACCACGTGGAAAATCAAAATCAACGCCTCGAAAACCCAAGCGATCATGTTCCTTCACAGACAATCATTAAAACTTAAACCGTCTCCCTCCTGTACCGTAATAATGGATGGTACAAGGGTCGAGTGGTCCACTGATGTTACTTATCTCGGGATGTTGTTCGATGAGAAGCTCCTGTTCCGCTCGCACATAGAGAAAACCCTAGTTAAGTGCTCCGCCTTGGTTAGGTGTTTGTATCCGCTCATTTGCCGCAGATCCCGCCTCTCAAGGCAAAACAAACTGGCTGTTTACAAACAGATCATAGCCCCCGCGATCTTCTATGCCGCCCCGGTGTGGGAATCGTGCGCTCAGACCCACAGGAACAAAATCCAGGTTGCACAGAATAGAGTGTTGAGGATGATCCTAGATCGTCCATTCGACACAAGAATAGCAGACCTCCATCAAGAGGCAGAAATTCCCAAAGTAGATTCCAAAATTGATGATATGACAACTAAATTTATTCAAAAATGCAATCTTTCTGAACATGCTTTAATAAGCAATTTGTACATAGTAGGTTAAGTGTATATAGTAGAGTAGGTTAGTTTTAAGCTGTAAATAGTAGTATTAAGTAGTTTCTCTTCAAATTCTAAAAACAAAACAAACCAATCCCACCAAGGTGGTCGACCGTGTACTAAGTCTAGGACTAATTCTGTAAAACAAATTTTGAATTTTGCCCATACCTAAAGATGAAGAAATCATTAAATCACTTAGTAAAAATTTATATGGTAATCGTCCAAGTTAAACTAAAATAAAGATCATTTAAACTAAAAAAAAACTTCATCTTCTCGGATAGTCTCAGTTCGATTGAGGCTATTCGGTCGATGAAACAAGGTAGGCACTCATCTTATTTCCTTTCAAAGGTAAGGGAGCAGATGAGTGTACTGGTCGAAAGATCATATATGATTACCTTTGTATGGGTCCCCTCACATTGCTCAATCCCAGGCAATGAGAAGGCGGACTCTCTCGCAAAGGTGGGCGCGCAGGAAGGCGAATTGTATGACAGGCAAATTTCACACGATGAATTTTACCATTTAGTGCGTCAGAGTACCTTTTCGAGTTGGCAAACCGATTGGGACACTGGAAATCTTGGACGGTGGTTACATTCAATTATTCCTAATGTTTCTTCGAGAGCGTGGTTTAAAGGCTTGAACTTAAGTCGTGACTTCATTGGCGTGATGAGTAGACTTATGTCCAACCACTACTCGCTAGATACTCATCTCAATAGAATAAACCTTGTGGACAGCAACGTCTGTCGCTATGGAAACGGTTACGATGACATCGATCACGCAGTTTGGCAATGTACGGATAATGACGCCGCCAGAGAGCGACTTTTGAATATCATCGAAGCCAAAGGAAGACAACCCTATGTTTCTATATAGTTATATGCAGTCGATTTATGTGTTTCTTCAACTGTCTAGTATAAGAATTTAATTCCTTTGTCTTTTGTCTCTCTTTAATAGTTTTTATTTGTCTTGTCCCTCCGTCTCGATGAGTATCATCGTCACCCACTGGACACCATAGCCGGTCGAACTCCAGACGAAACTATTTAGAACCGCACTACCGTTCATACTGGTGACAACGCTCTGATGAGACAACGAAACCTTATCCCAAGCTCCTCTCCTGATCCTATCCTTCGAGAATGTACCTCTCTAACCTCGAGTAAGCCGCAAGCATTCAGCCCAACTCCTACTAGACATAGAATTAAGTGAATTTTGTTTCAACCAAAGAACAATGAACTATCGGCTCCGTAAAGCTAACGTGATTGAGCCTTCCAAATAAACGAACTAGTTAAAAAAAGGTATTACGTACAGTTGTGAGATTAACCCGTTTTTCTCAAAAACTGAAGTCGTGCAAAGAATTTGAGTACATATTTGGATTCCGCGAGACAAAATCTATTTAATTCATTGCATTTGGTCGAAGGGTGAACAAAAAAGATTAAATTTTGCCGACATGTGTCGGTCGAATCGGCATGAATCGTGTTGAAGCTATCATGTGGCACTTCAAATCACATGATAATTCAAAAACAATATAAATTGTAGACATATTGAGCGTGCAGGACATAATTGGCCACATCCGGACATGTTCCGTGTACCCCAAGGGATGAGGCCAGTTTCTGACTTGGACCAAAACCCATCATGCGGCACCTCAAATCACATGGGAATTAAAAACAATGCAATGGTGGTTAAATCAAGAGTCCAGGATCACATTAGACACATTTGAACATGTTCCGGGCTTGGATAGTTTCCAGTTCCTTTCCAGGATCTCGGAAATAATAACATTTAGTCCAACTTTAATCATCAATGTGAATTTCAGCCCAAAATGAATGAGAAATAAACAAAATGCAGCTTGAAACATGCTCATGGAACATAGTTACAGCCATTTCCCTAAGCAAGTTTAGAAAGGTTGAGCAGGTCTGATCTAAGTTATCAATTACGCATGGATAATCTTGGTCTGGTGGGATTTGAAACTATTATTCTCACATTGCCTGACGTTTCGGCCATTTTCAAGAGACTGTTGTTGTACTTGTTAAAGGTCTAATAAACATACCCAAATAAACATTGGGCAACGTAAAATAAACCGTTTCAATTCCCACAAGACTGAGAATAACAGTACCTTTCCAGAGTAAAATTTAGGCTACTTTATATTTTCAATTTTTTTTTATAAATATTCAACAGGGCGATATAATTTTTGCATCACAATGTTAATTCTATATGAAATGGAAAAACGTTCTCAACCATAAAAATATTAAAACATAATTATCATCTTGAAACATGCCTTTTTCACAGAAATGTTCAATACACTACTGGATATGTGGGCAACATATGATTGGGTTCAGAGGCTGCTTAAATAGGCGACTCCGTCAATGACATGTATTTTAATGCACTGAACATCCCCGAAACCTACCTCGTACATAGCGACCTGATCTGGCTTGGTTTGCGATGTGATGTGATTTGATTTCATCCCCTTCGCATTCAATTGTATGCCATCCAACCAACTTTGCAAAATTCCTACATGCAGTCAGCCTCTATGTAGGTAGACTGTACATAGTTCCCGGGTTCGAAGCAACCACGTTTGACTCTTTTGTACTTTATTGAATTTGAATGAAAATGGTGTCTGTGCCTTGGCACGGAACGAAAGCTGAGTGGTTTTCCTCCCCCAACTCTCCATCCTGGTAGCGGGGCGGAGGCACACAACAAAACATGGCGGCGACAGCGACGACTACGACTCCGAGTCAATCCGATTCAATCACCGACGCCAAGAGTGGTTCTCGTTCAGCAAGCAGATGGGGTGCGGTGCCGAATGGGTGGGAGCTCCATGTGGAGAAGTACAAATGATTTGAACTTGTAGCATTTGGATGATGCTCTCTGTTGTTCCCTTCCAAAGTTCAGAACGTGGTTTGGCTCCGGTCCCGATCTGTGCCGATTGCCGTATACACTTCAATTCCAATTAACGTCGTCGTCGTCCTCCTTCTGGTTCAGACTTGCTGTCTGCGTTGTGTGTGTGTGTGTGTGTGTGTGTGTGAGTATGATGTTTTTTCCCCGATTCTCATTCTCGCTTTGATAGGATTTAGTGGAGTCGCCATCGAACGGACCAAGTAAGCCAGGGGTCACGGAACTGACGGTCGAACCAAAAAAACGACTGACATCAGCGTTCGTTCGATCGCTGGAAAACCCAGGGAGGGAAAAGGCTAAAGAACAAAAACGAGAAAGAGAAAATTAAACCAAAATGCAAAAGGATGATCCGGTATTAAAAATCTATTCAATTGAGAGTTCGCCACCGCTCGCTCCTCGCTGGATGGGTGTGTGCCTTTCCTAGTTTAACGTCGAGCTGGGTGGTACGAGTGCCGGCGCCGGGCTCTCTGTTGCTGCTCTCAGCATTATTATTCGGCACTCTGGTACATAGGGAAAACATCTAAGTCCATTCGCATCGCAGCGATTTGGTTCCGACGGATGGTGGTTTCAAAGTTGGTAGCACGACGGCTCTCGAGCAAACGGTGATGATACTCTCTAGTGCCGACGGATGGTTGGTGGCAGTGAACTTATCTCATTTAAGTTTTGCCGAGCGAATCCGTGGCGCTTTGATACATATGGCTGAATTTTGTAACTTCTGTCACTTTGATGATTTGTTGAGTACGGGATTAAGTGGAATGCAATTTCCCCGAGGGTGTGCGTACAATCCAATTATGTTGAGTTTGGTGTAACAATAGTAAATTGTGTTCCTAATTCAGTGCGTGCAGTTTTTGTCATTATTTCATGGACTTTAATATTATGTATACGAATGGTGGTAAAGTAATAACATTAATCGATGTATTTTCTTTTTATGTTGCAGGTGCCAGGCTGGAACGGGAAACTGTACCGTCGACAAGGCGCATCGAAATCAGTGCCAAGCATGTCGGCTGAAGAAGTGTCTTAATATGGGAATGAATAAAGACGGTGAGTATTAGATAATAACGGCATATTTTTATTAGAGAAACTTAACACATTCACTGACTGGTAAAAACACACAAATCATAATTATAATATTTCCACACCACAACCAGTTACGTGGTACCTGTTTTTTAGATTTTCCTCACATGGTTGCGTAGGCTTTGTTTTATTCTTTGACTGCGTCATCATTATAATCGCATTTCTAACATTAACTCACTCCCCAAATAAAATTGCAAGTTTTATCACGGTTTTAAGGCATTCTTAATGTCTAAATCATCGACTACAGAACCCTTTAAATCCTAAATCGTTACTTGGGTTTTCTCTTTTACCTATGGCAATTCATTTGCTACTTTTAACTTACATGAATGTCAATGAGGAAATCTGTGAAGCGCGAGATTAAGTGATAGAGTTTATGGTCAAAATATCAAGAATTTTTTTTTTGAGTACTATTGTGAGTTGATAGCTAAGAGAGCATAAGATGACCAGTTTGCAAGTTTTTCATGATATTTAAATGAATAAGAGTTAGTGAGTTTACCTTGCTAAAATACGGAAATGTATTTTGCGGGCAATGAGAGATTAATGAAGTGAAGAGATTTAAGATTTGTGAGATTTTGACAGTGGGCTGAGAGATTTAATTAATGACAGTTATAATTTTCTCTTTATCTGATGGGACATTTACACACGCTTTTCTCTATTTTTACTGTCATGAGCCAAAACCATAACGCGATACCTTCTAGTGTTCAGGGTTTTATTCATCATGTCTAGATGCGGGTGCGCACGGAAAATTTGTTTTTGGTTATTGATAAATTACCATCATACATTTAACCAAATTGCATATGATATTGAACCATGATTTTTTGGCCTATGAGGGGGAGAAGGAAGATCTTAAACTCCAAAAACTGGCTCTGTAGCTAATAAAATATAGTATAATAATAATAATAATAAATTATCGAATTCAATATCAATGAGGAGTTGTCTCCCAATTTATGTTGAATTGGATAAACCTTATTTCCAATAAGATAAAAACGAATTAATGCAAAAGAGTAGAGGAGGTGTACCACTTATGGAATTACTTAAAAAATATATCAGTTATGGCATTAACCAGATATGGCTTATAGAGTTTAAAAGGAGTAGTGCCATAATTGTGTTATGGCTGGGTAATGATGGGTATTAGGTTTTAAAGTTACTTTGGATGTAAGTACAAGGTATAACACCGATGTTATCAATTGCATGCTCTGATAATAACTCACTGAGTTTATTCTCGGATTGCTGATATAGTATCATTACAGTTCTCCTTTCTCGAGATTGTTCATACAATTCATTTTGTTGCAATTCATGGTTAACTTAACGACTAAATTAAATATTAAAATTTTACAAACATATCAAAGAATTCGACTGAATAAAATTCAAATAAATAATAGAAATAATCATTATTAGATTTTTTCGTTTAGAACATAGGGATCTTCTTAGCGGCGCCGGTGGTGTAGTGGTAAGCGTGATTACCTCTCACCCCAGCAGGCCTGGGTTCAATCTGAGGCATAACATCTCTCTTCGGAAGGGAAGTAAAGCCGTTGGTCCCCGGTTCATGAGTTGATGGGTCGATAGGTAGTGTCCAGGTGTGGGAGCTGCCTCCCTGGCGTCGGTAGCATTGGTGCTCAGCACGGAAAACAAGATCGACGGAAAACAAATCAAGGGTAAAAATAGTGATCTTTTTAAATTTAATCACCTTGATTACCAAAAGCTACATCTTGGCTTCTTTTTCTTCTTGACCGTCGATGTGACGAAAGCGATGATTCAGTTCCGTGAATTGGTAAACCGAAATCGCCTGATGAAGTTGAAGCTGGTAGTTCGTTAGAACGTTCCGTATTGCCTGACTTCCAAATGCTGGATGGCTGCAATAAGTCGTTGCTAAACGTGGCAGGAATTGGTTTAGGCACACTATTGCCTGATCGTTTAATTGGCAAACTATTACCAGTCTCTGATGAGCATGACAAACTATTGCCATTTTGTGTGTCGAATAAACTTGAATCCAAAACAAAACCATAAAAATCTTCATCCGAGACCGAACCGTCTGCTTTCTCTCTTGGACGCTTCCTGATGTCCGTATGATCATTCTGCCATCTACATACGATCTTCTCTGGTACCTGAGCTTGATTTGATCGCAATGTGCAGTATACGTGTCCCCCCCAAGCGAAATCTGGAAAGCATTTGGAGAAACTTTCTTTAAAAATGTAGCATCCAACCACCTTTTTGTATCTGTCGGCTTAAAATTCTAGAAGTAGATTGGATCTCCGTAACGTACATAACTTAGCAAACTCGTCTCGTTCAGACTCGTCAGTATTAAAACCAGTGCTTTCCTCGTCTTTTTTGATTGTCAAGTGCTGTTTAAAACTATTGACTAGATCTAGTATCGTTTTCGGTTTAAAGTTAAACAGATTTTCAGGAGGAAACCTTGAATCTTCAGAACAAGTACAAGATAGTTAAACAAGAAACAAGAGACTTGATCTTCAAGATCCAAACTTTTCATTTGTGGATCGAGCAAAAACTTCTTCAACACTTCTTTAACAACACGAACCATTCTTTTGGCTTGACCATTACTTGAAGGGTGATATGGTGGACTTTTCATGACCTTGATGCCTTGTTTTCCCAAGAAATCTATGAGATATCTAGAGCTAAACGGTGGTCCACCATCAGTCACAATGACCATAACAAGAAAAACTTTGTGGTCGAAATAGAAGAAATCTGCGTGTATCCTACTAAATGGACGGTTAGTAGGAATCCAACTAGTTTGTGATGGCTTCTTGGAAACAATAGACATTTGGTTACAAATGTGACACCTTTTCACAAAACTTTCAACATCACTATTGGTTCCATACCAGTAAACAGTTCTCTTAGCTAGCTGCTTTATCTTGTGAATGCCTGACTGATTTCTTTCGAGTAGCTTCAACACAGAATTTTGCAATCTTCCTGGAATAATAACACGATCTTGATAAAGCAGGCAACCATTCAACAACTCAAGATCTTGATGATGTGAGTAAACGTCTTAAAACCTTTTGTCTTACTTTTTAGCAAAATTTTTAAAAAATTTGAAGAAATTCATCCTTTTCTGTCTTTTTTTTTGCGATCCTCGTCCAATCTAAAGGCAACTCTGCAGTGATATAGATGTTCTTAACGTAATCACTTTGCAACTCTTTAGGAATTTCTTGCGGTAAAGGAAAACGTGAACAGAAATTCGCATTACCCATTTGTGACGATGGTCGGTGAAAATGGCGAAGTCACAAATTGACAACTCCATTATATGCCTCTGTAAACGTGCACAAATATTGCATTTTAATTTCTGAAACTGGTTTATAGTACTAACAAGCGCCAATGCCTCTAGATGCAGAATTGGATATGATTTCTGTGCATCGATCAATGAGAAAGAAGTAAAGCTGATAGGGCATTCTACTTTGTCAACAACATGTGCAATTACTCCTCCTAAACCATAACCACAGGCATCGGAAACAATCACTAGTGGCTTGTTAGGATCATAGTATTCCAAAAGATTAGAATTCAACAAAACTTTTTTGCAATTTTTAAACGATTTTTCACAATCCTTGCTCCAAACAAAGCTCGTGTCTTTCCTCAACAGACTGTAACAACTTGCTGCGATGTGAGGATAAGTTGGGAATGAAACGACCGTAATAGTTGACCAAACCTAAAAATGCCTTCAACTCTGTGACATTTTTCGTAGCTACAGCTTTTCGGATTGTCTCAATTTTCTCAAGGCATGGAAACAGTCCTAGAACAGACTAGAAACAGAAATAGACTTTTTTTTAAATGAACTTTCATGTTGAAGACCAAACACAGTCAAGTATCTGGCAGTTACTCTTGACAGCAAACTAAATTGGAATTCGCATCTAGAGCAAGTCATTAGTAAAGCAACAAATGCTCTTTGGATAAGTAAAAAAAAAACTTTTCAGTGGATTTATTTGACGATTGTAAGTCCCAGAATAACCAATGCATCATTGGTTTGGTGGCCTAAAACCAATGAAAAATCAGCTCAGAAGAAGCTGGGAGACTGCAAAGGCTAGCTACTCTCTCAATAACTGGTGTAATGGGCAGCACACCAAATATAGCACTAGATGCTCTACTTTATCTGCATCCGTTGCATCAATTTATTCAATTAGAAGCCGAAATGAGTGCATTATGGATCCGACGGTCACAGCATTTCCTTGAAGATGATCTAAGAGGACATATGAGCATCCTAAAAATGTTCAATATTGATTCTAATGTGTTACAAAATGAAGATTGGATGAAGAAAAAATATAACTTCGATCGTCTTTACAATGTAGCAGATGCGGATCACGATTTGTGAGACAATGGGTGACCAAACATTCGTCCAGGATCAATCGTCTTTTAAAGAGACGGCTCTAGATTGGATAATCGTATAGGAGCAGGAGTAACATGTCCAGGTATAAATATCTCAATATCTATGGGCTACTGGCCTACCGTGTTCCAAGCAGAAGTCCAAGCAATTCTTGAATGTTTTAAAATTTGCTTGCGTATAAATTATAGACATTCAAATATCTGCATTATGTCTGATAGCCAAGCAGCACTAAATGCTCTGAAATCAGCAACATGTAATTCTAAACTTGTATGGGAATGTGCAATGTCATTCCAAAAATTGGCCTGCCAAAACCAAGTGAACCTCTTTTGGGTTCCTGGTCACTGCGGGATTCAAGGGAATGAGAAAGCCGACACACTGGCTAGGCTTGGATCATCTCAACAATTTATAGGATCAGAACCATTATGTGGAGTTTCTGCTTGCTCTCTTAGAATGGAGTTTAAAAAATGAGAAAAAAGAAAGTGGAGACCAATTGGAACAACACTCTCATTGCTAGGCAGTCGAAACTAGCAAAATTCTTGAACTATGAAATAAAGATCTCAGTATGTACACTGGTTTAAAAACAGGACATATCCATGTAAATATCACTTGAAGCTAACAGGAAAACTTCAAGAGGACA